AAAAAAAAAAAAAAAGAAAAAACATCTAGGTGCAGTAGCTCACACCTGTAATCCCAGCACTCTGGGAGGCCGAGGCAGGTGAACGGCTTTAGCTCAGGAGTTCAAGACCAGCCTGGACAACATGGCAAGACCCATCTCTACAAAAATTGGCCAAGTGTGGTGGTGCCTGCCTGCAGTCCCAGCTACCTGGTGGGCTGAGGCTGGAGGATTGCTTGGTCCCGGGAGGTCGAGGCTGCAGTGAGCTGCAATTGTGCCACTGCACTCCAGCCTGAGTGACGGAGTGAGACCCTGTCTCTATGAAAAAAGAAAAAAAAGGCTGGGTGTGGTAGCTCATGCCTGTAATCCTGGCACTTTGGGAGGCCAAGGTGGGTGGATCACCTGAGGCCAGGAGTTCGAGACCAGCCTGGCTAATATGGTGAAATCCTGTCTCTACCAAAAATACAAAAATTAGCTTGGCGTGGTGGCGGGCACCTGTATCGCAACTACTTGGGAGGCTGAGGCAGGAGAATTGCTTGAACCTGGGAGTCAGAGGTTGCAGTGAGCCAAGATCGTGCCACTGCGCTCCAGCCTGGACAATAGAGTAAGACTCTATCTCAGAAAAACAAACAAACAAAATCGGCCAGGGTGACCTGTTGGTTAAAGAAAAGAAAGGGTAGGGGCTGCTGTGAACCACACTAAGGAGACGTAACCAACCAACCCCTGGGCTCTGGCGGGAGGTGGGCTGAGAACCACCATGACTGAATGCTGGCGGGAAACAGATAGCTGCAGGCGGCGTCTCGGGACGTTTGGGAAATGTGAACAGGAAGGGCCGGTAGGTGAGGATATCAAGCTGCTGTGACAGTCTGAGGGGCAGTCACGGTGCTGTGGGCAGGTAGGAGAAGACACTGTTCCTTACAAGATACATGCTAATGTTTCATAACATCTAAAACTCATTTTCCAATAGTTCTGGAAGAAAACTGTATGAAAAGAAATCTGGCGACATGTTCAGTATTGCACAAAACGCACCCAGGACGGATGAGTCAGTGTGTGAATGAGGTTTTTATTTTCTGTATGTTACGGTACTCGGACACCCGGGGCCCGGCTGGCCCCCCAGGCCTAGTCATTCCTAGACAGTGCGTGGCTTGCCTTGGAGCACGAAGACTCACAGGGAGCAGCCCGGGTCGCCTTGGGGAGCCTCACCTTGTGCTTGTACACCTTCCACTGGGCCTGCAGCACCCTGGCCGCGGCGTCTCTTCTCCCGTCAGAGCAGGGGGAGCGGGGCCGCGGGAGCCCCTCCTCACTGGACTCCGGCGGCCAGTCTTGCTCGCAGTGCCTGCTGCTGGGAGTGGGAGCTGAGAGCTCTTGGGCCTGCAGGAAATTGAAGGAGTAAGAGGACGATGAAGCCAGGGCAGGGACGAGCAGTACCCGGCAAGGGGACAGGATATTACTTTGCATGGTGCGGCTGGGCTTATCAGGCAAGTCTTATTAATGTGGCGAGAGCTGTTCCACACTGGTCCGCAGGCCACATGACAGCGGTCTCCTGTACTGCTGAGAAACCGTGTCCAGGCGAGCACACACGTGCAGACACACCTCTCATTAAACTCCCTCAACTCTGTCTGGCCACGCCTTCTGGGAGAGAGAGAGGACGTTTCTTCACACGGCCGTCACACACTCACTACACTCGGTCACATTTTGTTCCTGCAAGAATTGTTTTTCTGGGGTCCTTTTCTGTTTTCTAGTTTAACGCTCTAAATTATAAACGTGGGATTTCTGGGACTGAAGGCATTATATATATTTCTACCATGGTTTTTAAGGTAGAAACAAGCCAGGATTGCTATAACGACCACTGAAATAACCATGATTTCAGGCTGGGTGCAGTGGCTCACGCCTGTAATCCCAACAATGTGGGAGGGCCAAGCAGGGAGGATCACTTGAGCCCAGGAGTTCAAGACCAGCCTGGCCAACACAGCGAGACCCCATCTCTATGAAAAAATTTTTAAAATACCCGGGGTGTGGTGGCACACCACTGTGGTCTCAGCTACTCAGGAGGCTGAGGCAGGAGGATCGCTTGAGCCCAGGGGTCAAAGCTGCAGTGAGCCATGATTGTGCCTCTGTAGTCCAGCCTGGGCAACAGAGTGAGACCGTCTCTAAAAAGAAAAAAGAAAAATTATGATTTCTAACACTGATGACTCCAAATGTATCACCCACAGGACACTACCCAGTACAAACAAAAAGGCCTCTCATGTCAAGAATGCAAGCTCGGTAGAGAGCATGCTGTTGCTGAAAGCCCTCCCCAGAGGGAGACACAAGACTGCTCCCAGTGCACACTGGGCCAGGCGCGGGCACAGGTGGCCTGTCCACAGACTTGAACCAACACAGAACGGATTGCACTGGCTTTTCATTATCTGTGTGTTACGACGCTTGGGGCCTTGATGCCCCTCTGGGCCTGGCCAATTCCTAGACAGTGAAGGGCCTGCCTTCGGGCACGGCCATCCTATGCGAGCAACTAATCCAGTGCCCACACTCAGAATCGCCTCCTGCGCTGGGCCCCACACTCCAGGAGGCAATATTCCTCAGCCTTAATCACCCAGGGCCAGGTGCGGAACAGCTCAAGACCACCCTGTGGCCCAGGTCCCGCTGAAGTTCTTCAAGCTTCCAGCCCACCGGCCCCGACCAGCCAGGTCACCTCACTTCGCCTGCTCCTTCCCATGATAAAGGCCCTGGCCCAGGTCTTCCGCATATCCCTGCCGCCTCCTGGCCGACGCGCTGCTCCTGCGTGGCCTTGCGTGCCCTGCCTCCTGTTTCTAGGGACCTGGGAGTGTAAACTTCCTAGGACAGTCACTTGCATGTCTACACATCTTAACATCCCTGACGAAGATGCCCTGGGTACATCCACACAGCCAGCTGTTTCCAGATCCCTTTAGCTGTGGCACCAAGTTGCTTGGCACCAGCATTCCGGCCCTGGGCTTCCACATTCTGATTTTGTGACCCTAAGAAGAGCCTCATCTTCCCTCAGTCCTGACACATTTTCAGGCCTCTCTGTTCCGCTAAAGTGAGATCAGCTGTTAGTATGTGGCCCGTGCCAACGTGATTGGAAAGGTAAAATCAGCTCCTCAGAAGATAAATGAACATTTACTCACACAACTACAGACAGTTAAAAAAAAATCTAAATGTTCACATGCTTATAAATTCCTTGAGGCAACTCTTAAACCCACTCTTGTCACTCCATTTAACCTGCAATTAATCATTCCCACGTGAATGCTAAGAGCCGATTCCCCTACTCGGAGAGCTGATCACTCAATCCCACTCTTCCTTGTCTCTAAAATAGAAATGTTTCCTGAGGAGGAAAATAACACAAAGCTAATACATGCTTATTATGAAAAATTCAGACAATACTAAAAGAAAGTAAAAAAAAAAAAAAGCTTATAACCCCACCACACAGAAAAGGCTGTATTTCAGCAGTATTTTCAGACATTTTTGTTTTCTTTTTCTCTCTCTCTCTCTCCTCTCTCTGTTTTCAGACATTGTTCTTTTCTCTTTCTCTCTCTCTTTCTTTCTTTTCTTTTTTTAGTGAGACAGGGTCTGGCTCTGTGGCCCAGGATGGAGTGCAGTGGTGCGACCTTGGTTCACTGCTGCCTCCCGAGCAGCTGGGACCACAGGCAGTGGCTTCGATTGGTTTTATCCACGAGCCCCTCTTAGAGCAAACTGCAGCCCCAGGATGGTAACGCCAAGCTCCTTCTTCCTGCCTGAACATGCATGGGCTCACACCTGCCCTCCGAAGGATCCTACCCACTGGAAGGGGATTTGTGAGGACGCCCTTCTGCCACCAGAAGTGCAAGTGCAGGCAGCACCGGCCATGGTGACCAGAGCATGGCTGTGACCCTCCAGGGAGGCAGCAGAGGGCCAGGGACCTTGGAGCCACAGAGACACTGCCTTGACCAGCTGCCCCTGGGTAGCGTCCACACACGCGGAGGGAGTGGAGAGGCAGGAGGGCATCCGCCTTGGGTCCCTGCTCACCTGCCGGGTCCCTGCTAACAGTCACTTCATGTTCAACCCGTGCACAGCTGAGTGACGGCAGAGAGGGCAGAGGAACCCCCACTCCACCCAGAAGGCAGTGCCTGCTGAGGCCTTGCTGGCCTTGTGTTCTGCAGACAGGGCAGAGGAAGCCCCGCTCCACCTACAGGGCAGTCTCCGCTGAGGCTTTGCCAGCCTCGCGTTCTGGAACTTAGATGAGAGGAGAGGGCGCAGGCCTAGGTCCATGCAGAGGCCTGACTGAGCCTTTGTCCTTTCCCCCCACGCCCCTCCCGCCTCTCAGTGACAGCTCCAGCCACACATCTACACCCTCCACACGGCTGAGCTTTCGGTTAACTCTTTACTTACCAGCCTTGAGACTCAAATATCAGTTCGAGAAGTCAATTTGCTGACAGTCAATTAATCCAAAACGCTGGACTTCGACACACACGACATGAGTTATAGAAATTGATCGTGATGACAAAAGGGAGTGGGATTTTCAGTGGATGGTCAGAAACAACTCTGGGCAGAGAAACGGTCGGAACCGTCATGACCAGCGGAAGCCTCACCACACCTGACGGGAGACTCAGGCAAACGGTCACTGTACCTTATGAAGAACTTCTGGGCAATCCTCTTTCTCTTCTTTCTCCATTTCTTGCAGTTCTCGGAGCTTGCTGGTAAGCATCTGAATCTCCTCTCTAAGGCGGAAAGGGAAAAATGAGACACCTCACCTGTCACTATGTGATGAAGGCCGGCGCAGGGCAGGGTGGGGCGGGCAGTCCACGCTGAGACAGGGGGACGCCAGGCAGCCTGTAGAGGGCTGGTAGGGCCATGTCTCCCTGAGCCACAGGGCCCAGCTATGACCTGACGGCACCAGAAACCCCATTGCAGGCCGGGACTTCCTGCTGTCTCCTGCTCTGGGCTGGAAGCCCAACGAGGCCAGGGCTGAGGACCCCCAGGGCCCAGCACCTCTCCTGAAACAACTAAGAACTAAAAACAGAATCCATTGTGTGAATAAGTAAGTAGGAGGCCGGGCGCGGGGGCTCACACCTGTGATCCCAGCCCTCTGGGAGGCCGAGCCCGTAGGATCACTCGAGCCCACGCGTTTGAGATAAATAAGCAGGGATCACTGGGGTGTTAGTAAACAGTATGAACAGGAGGCACTGCAGTTTAGATGTTCATTCTAGGTACTAAAGGCAAAAAAAAAAAAAAAAAATTCATTTCTGCACATGTGCTCTTTTGGATTTACTTTAATTCTAGCCTTCTGACAGAATTCAGTCAGATTTCTCCTGAAAATGAAACGTTTTCTTTTTTTAAAAATTTTTTTGAGATGGATTCTCACTCTGTTGCCCAGGCTGGAGTACAGTGGCATGGTATCTGCTCACTGCAACCTCCACCTCCTGGGTTCAAGTGATTCTCCTGCCTCAGCCTCCTGAGTAGCTGGGATTATAGGCACCTGCCACTGTGCCCGGTTAATTTTTGTATTTTTAGTAGAGAGGGGGTTTCACCATGTTGGTCAGGCTGGTCTTGAACTCCTGACCTCGCGATCTGCCCACCTCAGCCTCCCAAAGTGCTGGGATTATAGGCATGAGTCACTGTGCCCAGCCAAGGTTTTCTTCATTCCAGTAATCTATGTCTTACTAATTATTCTGAGTGCTAAATATGTCTGCTCAGATTTCTAACCTAGTTTTTTGTGCATTTTAAAAAGTTAAGACTCATCACATAAAATTCACTATTTTAAAGTGTATAATTCAGTGAATTTTAGCATATTCACAGTGTTGTGCACCTACCACCCCTATCTAATTCCAGAACATTTGCATCGCCCCAGAAAGGAACCCATGCTCGTCAGCAGTCCCCGCTCCCCTCCCAGCCCCTAGCAGCAGCACTTGTCAGGTGGGTCTGCCCGTTCTGGACGTTTCCTGCACACGGAATCGTGTGCTGCGTGGCCTTTTGTATCTGGCTTTCTTTGCCGAGCACCACGTTTTTGAGGGTCCCCGGGCCAGGCCTGTCGGGACTGCCGTCCGCTCTGCGCCTCCGTGTGGTCGACCTCAGGGTGTTTGTCCACCAGCAGCTGATGGACCGTGGGGAGGGTGCTGCTTCCTGGCTCTCGCGAATGGTGTTACTTTGAGGGCACGGGCGGCCCCTCTTGAGGACGTGGCCCACACCAGGGTGGCTCTGACCAGAGGCCAGTGTGATGGCTCGTTGGGAAGGGGCAGGTGCTGGCACAGCCAGAGCAGAGGATGCCCCTGCGAGGTGGCCACGATGCCAGAGGGCAGGCCCTGCTCAGCACCCAGAGGTTATTCCCGAGCTGAGTGACAGAAAACCAGGGAAAGACTGCAGGGAGGTGTGGCCTTTCTAAAAACCCGGCTGGCAGCGAGGCTGAGATGCCTCGGGGGGCTGCAGTGGTGGCAGGAGTGCAGACTCGCCTGGCTCCTCTCTCCGGCCCTGACCAGGGGCACATACCTCAAAGCCTCCTCTCTCTCTCTCCTCTCCTCCTCGCCCTCCCTCGCGCGCTCCAGCTCCTTCTCCAGGTCGGCCTTCGCCTGCAGGAGCTGCTTCACCTCCAAACTACACACAGAATAGGAGACTCATCAGCGTTCACGAAAACTGGAGGTTATGTCAGAGCAGGAAGGCGCTTCTGAAAAGTGATAGTGCTCAACCCTTCCTTAGGACAGCGGATGGTGGGGCAGGAGGACCACCAAAGGCCCATTTCTTTTTTTTTTTTTTTTTTTTGAGACAGAGTCTCGCTGCTCTGTCGCCCAGGCTGGAGTGCAGTGGCGCGATCTCGGCTCACTGTAAGCTCCGCCTCCTGGGTTCACGCCATTCTCCTGCCTCAGCCTCCCAAGTAGCTGGGACTATAGGCGCCCGCCGTCACACCCAGCTAATTTTTGTATTTTTAGTAGAGACGGGGTTTCACCGTGTTAGCCAGGATGGTCTCGATCTCCCGACCTCATGATCCGCCCGCCTCGGCCTCCTAAAGTGCTGGGATTACAGGCTTAAGCCACTGCACCCGGCCAAAAAGCCCATTTCTAATCACACAGTGCCAAGGACAGACCTCAAGGCCCTGCCTGCCCTGAACCAAGCACTTGCTGTGTGCAGGGGATCAACAGGACGATGCCAGAGAAGGCCCTGCCATCAGGCCATAGAATGGGGAGTTGCCCCTCCAGCCGCCACTCATTGGCACGGACCTCGCACCCGCGTGGGGGTGCTGCAGGCAGGCGCAGGGTCCGTGAATGGGACAGGGGCCTGCCTTGCCTAGGCCGTGCCACTGCCTATGCGGGGCTCCAGCTGAACCACTCCCAGATGCATTTCTTGCGTCCCATGTGGTGTGATGGCCACACACTGGCCTTCAACGGAGACTTCTGTCCGAGTCTCAGATGGACTGTATGCTGTCTGCGAGCCCTGACTGCTCAGGGCCTGTGAGTCTCTATTAAATGCCAGAAACCCTAGAGTGCTTAGCAGAGCCCCTGTCACATAGTAAGGGCTAATACGAGGTGGCTCTTGTCATGCCACTTTACAGTTTCATAGATAATTCCAGAAGTTATTTACCTTTCATCGCGCGCTCCAGCTCCTTCTCCAGGTCGGCCTTATGACTGCTTAATTGGAAAAGCTTGTCATGAAATACGAATTTTTACAAACGACCTATCAATTGCCATAAATGCGATCTGAGACCTCATGTGAGGGGTAAGGACAGTGGTGACGGGTTGGCCTTCTACTGTTCACAGCAGGTAGCAGAGAACTTAGCACGCTGGGAGGCACTGGCCGAGTTCTCAGACCCTAAAGGGCACACAAATCACCTGCAGGGCTGGGCGCGGTGGCTCACACCAGTACTCCCAGCACTTTGGGAGGCCGAGGCGGGCAGATCCCTTGAGATCAGGAGTTCCAGACTCAGCGTGGCCAACATGGTGAAACCCCATCTCTACTAAAAATACAAAAATTAGCCGGGTGTGGTGGCGCATGCCTGTAATCCCAGCTACTCGGGAGGCTGAGGCACAAGAGTCGCTTGAACTGGGGAGGAAGAGTTTGCAGTGAGCACAGATTGTGCCACTGAACTCCAGCCTGGGCGACAGAGCAAGATTCTGTCTAAAAAAAAAAAAAAAAAACCATCACCTGCAGATCCCACTGGATGCAGAGTGTGATTTCGAAGGCTGGGGTAGGGCCTGGGCTCCTGCATGCTAACCAGCTCCCAGCTCCTGCTCCTGCTGCTGCTTCACAGGCCACTCTGAGGGGCAAGTCACGGTAGTGTTTGCAAACTAGAGAGAAACATCATTCCAAAGGTGATGGAGGTGGTTGCCTCATGGCAGAGCCGAGCCCAGAGGAGCCACAAATAGGAGGAGGACAGGAGCCAGGCCAGGTGCTAGGTGGCCACAGGTCATGGAGCTCCGGAGCTCCAGAACACCCGGTGAGGCCCTGCCTTCCCAGCCCTATGTTCACACCAAGTATTTCACAGCATTTAGGTCTTCTTCTGTTTGTTTTTTTTTTTTTTTTTCTCGGAGACAGAGTCTCACTGCCACCCAGGCTTGCATGCAGTGGTATGATTATAGCTCACTGCAGACTTGACTTCCCAGGCTCAAGTGATTCTCCCACCTCAGCCGCCCAAATAGCTGGAATTACCAGCTTGAGTCACTATGAATGGCTACATTTTGTATTTTTTGTAGGGATGGGGTTTCACCATGCTGCCCAGGTTGGTCTCAAACTCCTGGACTCAGGCAATCCTGCCACCTTGGCCTCCCAAAGTGCTGGGATTACAGGCGTGAGCCACTGCATCAAGCTGCAGCACTTATGTTTTATTTCATATGTATTAATAGATCATATGCCCCATAAACATATTACTGAATTAAGACCATGCTGCATAAAATCTAATTGATTTTACATAAACCAATGAAAGTAAATTTGTCTCTAGTAGACAATTTGAAGATTTCTCTGGAATTTGGGGTAGAGAGATTTAAATGTGCTCTCCCACCATTCCCTACACTTTTTTTTTGAGTTGAAGTCTCACTCAGTTGCCTAGGCTGGAGTGCAGTGACATCATCATAGCTCACTGCAGCCTCGAACTCTTGGGCTCAAGCGATCCTCCTGCCGTGGCCTCCTGAGTAACTGGGACTACAGACATGAGCCACCACTCCCAGTTAATTTAAAAATTTATTTTGGAGAGATGGAGTCTTGCTATGTTGCCCAGGCTGGTCTGAAACTCCTGGCCTCAAGCAATCCTCCCACTTCGGCCTCCCAAAATGCTGGGATGACAGGTATGCCCGACCCCTCATGCTTTTGATAATGTAATATGGTCAGTTAGTGTCTTCTTGTTATCACTAAAGCTGCCTTTCTTTCACCACCAAAACGTAAGAAGTTTTAGAATCATATAAAAATATGCAGTGACCACTATGAGCTGAACAGTTTTCCAAACTGACAACTGTTGAACCCTGGCGAAGATCAGTTTCCACAGGGAGTGACAGCTGCTTCCCTGGCGAGGCTGTGGGCGGGGCCTCGGGAGGACCTACTCTCCCTGCAGCAGCTGCTCCTGTGGGGACACTGGCGGGGCCTCGGGAGGACCTACTCTCTCTGCGGCAGCTGCTCCCATGGGGACACTGACGGGGCTTCAGGAGGACCTACTCTCTGCGGCAGCTGCTCCTGTGGGGACACTGGTGGGGCCTCAGGAGGAGCTACTCTCTCTGCAGCAGCTGCTCCCGTGGGGACACTGGCGGGGCCTCGGGAGGAGCTTCTCTCTCTGCAGCAGCTGCTCCCGTGGGGACACTGGCGGGGCCTCGGGAGGAGCTACTCTCTCTGCAGCAGCTGCTCCCGTGGGGACACTGGCGGGGCCTCGGGAGGACCTACTCTCTCTGCAGCAGCTGCTCCTGCAGGGCGGTCCGCTCTTCCTTCAGGTCTCTCACGGCCCCTCGGAGACGCTCATGGTCCTTGCTGCGGTCCCCTCGTGGCTGTCTGTGCAGCACAGAGCTGGATGCAGGGCAGGCTGGCGGGTGTGATCTGACTGGTTCTGCGGCGTGTGGTTTTGAGCTTTCCATCACACTTAGTTTCTGGAGGCAACACAGGCATGTTTTAGATGCTAGTTCTCATTTCTACTTTCTATTTACTGAACCCAGAAAAGAGACACCGAAGCAGGGCGAACCAAGTCTCCAGCAGGGCCACGAGAAAGCTTTGAGGGGACCCGAGTTACCCGGAGACACAGTGGGGCACAGGGCTACTGGAAGAGCATGATCCCTGCTCGGCTCTCTTTAATCAGAAGTGAGGCACGCCAGACCCCTGCCGAGGCAGGGCACAGGCAGAAGCCATTAAAACAGAGAGGAGGGCATGAGGGGAGGTGACTCAAACGACTCTGCACATCTACCTTCCTGCCCGTCCCCACCCTCCACTCCTGCCTCTCCCGGCTCTCAGACGTGCTGCCCGCTGTGCTTCCGAACCACCTCTGGGTGCCTTGACTCCCTAACAAGTTCTATATTTTAAACGTTCACAATTTATAGAAACTTCTCTTCTTGGTTTTTTTTTTTTTTTTTTTGAGACAGGGTCTGGCTCTGTCACCTAGGCTGGAGTGCAATCACAGCTTGTTGCATTCTTGAACTCCTGGGTTCAAGCATTCCTCCTGCCTCAGCCTCCCAAGTAGCTGGGAATACAGGTGTGCACCACCACACCCGGCTAATTGTTTTCATTTTTGTAGAGATGGGGTCTTGCTATGTTGCCCAGGCTGGTCTCAAATTCCTGGGCTCAAGCAATCCTCCTCTCAAAGTACTGGGATTGCAGGTGTGAGTCATTGTATCTGGCTAGTTTTCTACATTGTAAATATGTAAAAAACTATTTTTCAAAAACGTTTTTCCCTCTAGGTTTATTCTTCTTGGCCAAACAACACAGACGCTCTAATTTACTATTTAAAATACAAAGGTCCAGACCGGGCGCGGTGGCTCACGACTGTAATCCCAGCACTTTGAAAGGCCAAGGTGGGCAGATCACTTGAGGTCAGGAGTTTGAGACCAGTCTGGCCAACATGGTGAAACCTCATGTCTACTAAAAATACAAAAATTAGCTGGGCATGGTGGTGGGCACCTGTAATCCCAGCTACTGGGGAGGCTGAGGCAGGAGACTGCCTGAACCCAGGAGGCAGAAGTTGCAGTGAGTTGAGATTACGCCACTGCACTCCAGCCTGGGCGACAGAGTGAGACTCCATCTCAAAAAAAAAAAAAGAAAAGAAAAAACCAGCCTGGCTCAGTGGCTCATGCTTGTAATCCCAGCACTTCAGGAGGCCAAGGTGGGCGGATCACGAGGTCAGGAGATCGAGACATCCTGGCTAACATAGTGAAACCCTATCTCTACTAAACATACAAAAAATTAGCCGGGCGTGGTGGCAGGTGCCTGTAGTCCCAGCTACTGGGGAGGCTGAGGCAGGAGAATCACTTGAACCTGGGAGGCGGAGGTTGCAGTGAGCTGAGATTGCACTACTGCACTCCAGCCTGGGGACAGAGTGAGACTCCATCTTAAAAAATACAACCCCAAACAGAGGTCCAATTCCAGTAGAATCAGCCTAATTCCTACTTTGCAAAGTCGCGTAGGGGATGTGGGGAAACGTTCACTTTCCGATATTTCTGGCTGACCAGGAGTTGGGTCAACAGTTCCCTGTGGATTCCAACACAACTCGAGTGGTGGAGGCAGCGCCTGGTCGTCGACGGGCAGGGCACAGCCCACAGCCTGCACAGGCGGGCTGGACCGTGAGGGGCTCCAGTGCGAAGCGCGTCTGCCTGCGGCCACGCACAGAAGCTCACAGCCAGCGAGGGGCGTGAGAGCTGCCTTCAGCGTTGTCTACACCTGGAAGAAGTCTCCTTGCGGTCTGTGTGTGGTGCTGCCTGGCGGACAGCCAGTGCCATGCTCAGCGCCACCTTCCGCACCCTGTGAGCCCGTCCCCACAGCATAAGGCCCCTGGTCCTCAAGGACAGTGGCCCTGAGACACCCGCTCACCTTCTCCAGCTCCACAATGCGTCTCAGCAGCCGAGGCTTGCTCCACTCCACATAACCTGAGGGAAGCAGTGTGGTTTCAAACGGCTCCTGGCGAGCACTGCCAGCAGGGCCACCCTTCTCAGGTACAGCCTGAGGCTCCTCTCCCGCAGCCGGAGCAGCCTGCGGGGCTGCAGAGCCACTCTGACAGGTCCCGGCCCCCTGGGAGTTTCGCCAGCACGGGCCCAGTCTCTGTCCCTTTGGACCATGAAGAGATGTCTGTACTAATGGCCTCCAAGCATCTCAGGGTGACGTGCTTTCCCGATTCCACCTGGCCAGGCCATTAAGACAGTTCTCATCAAGATCTCCGATGACTGTCATTCTGCCAAATCCAACATCGGTTCTCAGTCTGTCCCCTTCCTGGCATGCACAGCCCCTCGCTGGCCACTCCTCCCCTCTGCCTTGTTGGCTGCCGCCCGCCCCACCATACACGGCCAGGTTCAGGGCCTGACCCCTGCTCCTCTCACTCCGGGTGAGCTCACTCAATCCACCTGAGTGCTGGTGACCCGCATGCTTGGCTCTCCAGACCAGGCCTCTGTCCCGCACCCCCCACACAGCCACTGCCTGGCCCGCACTCCCACACACTCAGACCTCCTGTGGCCCTTCCCCATCTCAGGAAACAGCAACTCTGTCTTTTCAGTTGCTGGGACGAAAAGCCTTGGAGCCTGGCTGCTCCCTCTCAGAGCCTACACCCTCTCTGCAGTTTCCCTAAGCTCTGGCTATAAGATGCAACCAGACCCCGACCACCTTTCACCACACCCACTGCTCCCCACATCCAGGCCACCAGCAGCCCGACTAGACAAGCGCAGAAGCCTCTGTCTGCCACCATCCCTGTCTCTGCACAGAAGCCAGGGGGCCTCGGGAAGCAGCACGGCCCCCTCCACCCTCTGCCTAACACTCCCACGGCACCCTTAAGGCTCCCATGGCACCCTGCCCCGCCGCCCCACTGGGCCTCAGGGGCCACACTCCACGTGTCTCCCAGGCACTCAGCCCTGCCCCGCCTGTCCCACCCCTGCTGCCGTCTTCATGGCTGTCTCGCCCCTTCTGGGTCCCGCTCAGCTGTCACTGTCTTGGGGGCGCCTTCCCGTCAACCCTGCTTGCAGCTGCACACACCACCTGCCTCACCCCAAAATGTGTCCTCCTCCCCTCCTCCATGGCACGGCCATCTGACACACCTGTCACGCATCTGACCCAACTCCTCCCTCCCTCCAAAAGCACTGTCTCCTCGAGGGATGTCTGTGAGCTTCCGTTCACAGCTCCATCCCCTGGGCACCACGTGGCCCGTGGCAGGTGCTGGCGCAGGTGGGAATTGGCATCGCTCAAGGGTTCACATCTGCCCTCGTGGTGCCTGTCCAGTGGCCATGCCCCACCCTTCCCTGGCCTCCCTCCTGCAGTGGCTTTCAGGAAGGTACCCTGTGTCTTGGAGATGGTGGGGGAGGTGCTCAGCACGCGGTCCAGGTCCTCCTTCAGGCTCTGGTTCTCCTCCGTGAGCTCCTGGACGCTCCGGGACAAGTTCAGGAGGGCACTGCCCATCTTCTTCTGCCTTTTGGTGCCCGTCTTCTTCTCCCCCAGGGGCCTAGAACAACCAAATCGTGGGCTGAGGTTTGCATTGCTAAGCTGGTTTCACACATGCTTGAAATGAGGGGCAGGTGAATCACAGCTTGCTTTGATGGTCATGAGCTCAGAGTGGCTTTTGTAGGTGAGTATTTGAAATCGAATAGGCAGTAATAACTTTGAACCCTAAATAAGCAAAACGTTAGCACCCAAAATGGAACCCCATCCTTAAGCAAGGTAAACCTGTGTAACAAAATATCGTACTCAAGTAACAGTATTGTATTTTCCATGCCATCACTAGAAGGGTTATGGAAATGTATCTTGTTCCAGCAGGTGCCTACAGAATAGCTTAGATTTCACTTCTTAGCCCACAAGGTCTAAAGTATAGTCGACCCTCATTATCTGCAGATCCCATAATTGCGAATGTGCTTGCTGCTAAAATGGATCCGTCAGCCCAAAATCAATATGCACGGGGGTTTTGTGGGAATTCTCACACGTGCACAAGTGATGAAAAATGCCAGCTCGGGCTGAACCAGGTGGTGCTCGGCTCCTCACCTCAGCTCATGTAAAAACAAGTGTGCTTTCTGTGGCCTGCCTGGTGCTGTGGCTCTCACGCTTCTGTGCTGTTTGCTGGTGATGCTGCCTTGAGTGGGCTGGACTGCAGTGCTGAGTGCTGTCCAGTGCCTCTAAGCTCAGGAAGGCTGTGTGGGCCCCTGTAGAGATGCTTATGTGTGTGCGAGAAGCTTCATTCAGGCCAGCCGTGAGTTTGATGAAAATTAATCCACAATCACTATTAAATAGGGTGTCTTTAAACAGACACACACATTAGCCAGGTTATACTCTGACTGGCTGATAAAAATGTTGCGACCAGGCCGGGCGCGGTGGCTTACGCCTGTAATCCCAGCACTCTGGGAGGCCGAGGCAGGCGGATCACCTGAGGTCAGGAGTTCGAGACCAGCCTTGCCAACATAGTAAAACCCCATCTCTACTAAAAATACAAAATTTATCCAGGCGTGGTGGCACATGCCTGTACAGTCCCAGCTACTCAGGAGGCTGAGGCAAGATAATCACTTGAACCCAGGAGATGGAGGTTGCAGTGAGCTGAGATTGCATCACTGCACTCCAGCTTGGGCAACATTTTCCAAAAAAAAATATATATATATAGTGAGCAGAAGTTCGCAGGAGCCCTGTTCCTCCCCTAGGAGCAGTGGTTTAGCATTCGCTCATTCCATGTTCATGGAGACTTTATAACTCTGTAAGGCGGACGTGATAACCACTGCACTACAAAAACCTACAGACACTTTGTAACTGAATAATGAGAATCAATTGTAGTTAGTATCTGGCCCTTTACAGAAAAAGTTTTCCAACCAGTTTTAAGGATTAGGGGTAAAGAAAAAGGAAAGCAGTCCGTGACATCAGCAAGCTGCTGCAGAGGCCAGTGACATGGCCAAAGCCACCGTCAGGGATCAGCCACCCAGAAGCGGGTGGCAGCCTGGTGCTGCATCCGTTGGGAAAGGGATATGGGAGATCTACCAGACAAGGAGAACCTCAGTGTTTCTCCTGATAAACTTATTTAGGAAACCATTAGGTGGCAAAGTAAACTTGTCCTTGTATGCAATGTCTTCCTAAAAAGGTGGATCTGCTTTGAAACAGCACTTTCTAGCTCTAAGCTGGAAGGCAGGATGTAGAATCTAGAACGAACACGGGCAGCACTGAACAAGCGTTGGCCGTCAACACGTGGTCACTATGAGGAGTCTGTGAACACTGCAAATGGAAACGTATCAACTCTAACCCTGAACAGAACAGTGCGGTGTTGGCACCACTGCCAAGCTAAGGGCAGTGTATGCTGCACCCACGTGACAGCCACACGCTGTCAGAGGAGCTTCCACAACATGAAGGCAACACACAAAACGCAGCTCACAAAAGGCCATCATACTTCTTTCCGGTGGTTTCAGAACTTGCCAAGAGGGTCTGGAGACGATGCACCTGTAAATACCAAATTGAAATGCATGAAAACATAAGGCTAGCATGGAGAAGACCTTCTCTGAGAAGACTGACATCACAGTCCTGACCACTGCCTACAGCCGGAAGCGAAAACTAAGTGGTCGCACTTCATCTTTCCATTGGGCTTGAAGCAGGAGCAGGCTCCAGGAGCGCAGCTCTGGGCCACCTGGACTCGACCCACCACATGGGGCCAGTGCCGGTCCCCTCCCACTTGGTGCCCCCAACTCAGTGCCGGCCCTCCGCCCCGCCGCCCAGCACGGTGCCCGCCCTCCGCCCCACTGCCCAGCACAGCACACCTCCTCGTAGTACGTCTCCATGGCGATCCGCATCTCTTCCAAGTTGGTGGTCTTCATATCCGCCTGGAGTTTGCTGAAAACCCAAGTTCAGCGTTAACAGGGCCGTGCCAGTGCTCCCAGGGGACAGAGCAAGAGGAAGAGTTTCCCAGAACATTCGGAAGAGGAGAGGCTTTGGAAGAGACCCGGGATGGGAGGGAAAAGCCTGAATGGGCCTTCACTCAGCTTGTGCCTTGAACAAGGGACTCGTTTCGAGCCTGATGGGAGAATTCCTCACACTGGAAAGCATCCCCTGTGTAGACCAGCTGCTTCGCAAAGTGAATAAACAGATTCCCTAGAGATACTCTTCTCCAGATGCTCCAAAGCATCTTCTTTTAAAGATGCTGTCTTTAAAAGACTAGATTAATGGTGAGGAAAGACTTCGGAGCTTAGAGAGGACAAGCCGCTTTGAGTGGTTGGTTTTGTAAGGAAGAGAGAATCACCTTTTCCCTGGCACTGTCAGGCTGTCCCCTCGCTCTCAACACAGAGCAGACTTTAAATAGAGACCGATAGAGAAACCAAAGTAAGGTCATGGAGGTTCTGCACTGAAACAAGAAGAAATCTGCAAACTTAAGTTGACAAAATTGGGCAGGAAACGAGGGGGGAACTATTGTACGAACAGGAGACATGAGGCAATGGACGTGTGGCCTCAGTTTCCCTTAAAGAAACCAAAACACGGCCCAGAAGGACTCTCCGTTCGCACTCGAAAGGCAGGTAAAGAAACGCGAGTAGCTACACCAAAAACAGCACAGGGATGGCGCAGGACTGAGGCATGGAAACCTCATCCTGGGAAGATACAGGGTCCACAGAGCAAGCAGAGAGAAAGCATTCCTTAAATACAGGAAGAAGTTGAACGGAAATATTTAGAGGGAACAAAGACAATAAAAAAAACTAAAAAGAGGCAGCTAATATTTACCTTCGGCTTTGGGGTGGGAGTAGGGACACAGGACAGGGGTTGGGGAGGAACAAAGGCTGGAGTCTGAGCGAGCAGCACAGGGGGGCAGGAGGCAGGGGAGAGGATGCAGGCCCTGCGCCCACCTGATGGTGCCATCTTTCTCCTTGCACTGCTGCTCCAGCTTCAGGATCCTCTGCTTCAGCCCATTAATGACCTGCCGGGGAACATGCCCATCAGGCAGGCCACCCCCACTCTCCCTCAGTAGACGTGGCTGTCCCCTCCTCCCAGAGCACCTGCACACCTCACTGGCCTTCCTCCCTCCAGCACTGTACTCTCTTCTAGACTACAGGCCCAGGGAAGAGGGAGGGCCCCACTGTGCTGTCCTCTCCCTGAGTAAAGCTGGGTGAATGGCAGGGGTGTGACACCGGCTGGAGCAGGAGGAGGTGGCAGCCATCGTGGGCACACTGACCGACTGGCAGCCCTTCCCCAAGCACACCACACACTTCGGGGACAGAGCAGGGTGCTCCCTTGATTATATTAAATAAAGGAAGCAGCCCCATCACCAGCTGGAGAAACCCCGGACTCAAAGCCCCTAGGGCCACCCAGTTCAGTCTCCACAGGGCAGTGAGTGGGGCTGGGAGACAGTGCAGCCGTAGGGCCCTGAGGAGCCGCTCCCCTCCATCTGGGGAAGGGAGAACAGCTCCAGAGGCCTCCTCACCTCCTTTTCTGTGACTGTCTTGCTTGGAGGAGACAACATTCTTATATTCTTTAAAGAACATTCTTTTCTTCTAAATAGACAACTTTTAAATGGAGATGGGGTTTCACTATGCTGCCCAGGCTGGCATTGAACTCCTGGGCTCAAGCAATCTGCCTGCTTTGGCCTCCCAAAGTACTAGGATTATGTGTGTGAGCCACCACACCAAGCTTGAATACACAACTTTTACATTGGATTTTAAAGTCATTTTAAATTATCTTAGTTGGCTGGGTGCAGTGGCTTACGCCTGTAATCCCAGCACTTTGGGAGGCCAAGGCAGGTGGATTGCCTGAGGTTAGGAGTTTAAGACCAGCCTGGCCAACATGGTGAAAACTCATCTCTACTAAAAATACAAAAATTAGCCGGGCATGGTGGTAGATGCCTGTAATCCCAGCTACTCAGGACACTGAGGCAGAAGAATAGCTTGAACACGCGAGGTGGAGGTTGCAGTGAGCCGAGATCTCACCACTGCACTCCAGCCTGGGCGACAGAGCCAGACTCAGTCTCAAAATAAATAAATAAACAAGCAAATAAATTATGTTAGTCATACATGAATACATTTTCCTTAAAAAAATGAAGATGTTATAGGACTGGGTGCGGTGACTTACGCCTGTAATCCCAGCACTTCGGGAGGCCAAGGCGGGTAGATCACAAGGTTAAGAGATCGAGACCATCCTGGCTAACACAGTGAAACCCCGTCTCTACTAAAAATACAAACAATTAGCCAGGCATGGTGGCAGGTGCCTGTAGTCCCAGCTACTAGGGAGGCTGAGGCAGAATGGCGTGAACCTGGGAGGCGGAGCTTGCAGTGAGCTAAGATCGCGCCACTGCACTCCAGCCTGGGCAATAGAGCAAGATTTTGTCTCAAAAACAAAACAAAACAAAACAAAACAAAAATGAAGACGTTATAGAGGCTAAAATACTCTGACCTGGCCACTCCCCTCTTCAGCCAACCGAATCCTGTTTCCACTTGCATGCCCCTCTGCACCTGGTTCTGTGCATGGCTGTGTGTGTGCACTTGGGGAGTCAGGCCCTCTGTTCTCACAGAAACGGGGCTCTGTCACACGCATCCCTCTGAATCTTGTTTTTTTTTTTTTTCCTGACATTCAACAAATCCTCCTGGTGCTCTGTCCCTGCTGGCGCCTGTGAATCCACACTATTTCCCACAGTCTCTCCATCTAGTCTCTCCTATTGATAGACACTTTTTGTTTTTTGAGACAGAATCTCACTCTTGTAGCCCAGGCTGGAGTGTGGGGGCATGATCTCAGCTCTCTGCAACCTCTGCCTCCTGGGTTCAAGCGATTCTCCTGCCTCAGCCTCCTGAGTAGCTGGGATTACAGGCACATCACCACACCCGGCTAATTTTTTGTATTTTTAGTACAGACGGGGCTTCACCATGTTGGCCAGGCCGGTTTCAAACTCCTGACTTCAGGTGATCCACCCGCCTCGGCCTCCCAAAGTGCTGGGATTACAGGCATGAGGCACTGCGCCCGGCCAATAGACCCTTTTAAAATCTTTTTTTTTTTTTTTTAGCTATCCTCTAAAACCTATCACTGTAGCCTACTGACACATACTTCAGTTGTAGCCCATTTTTGTGATTCTGGTCAATCCTATAATCAAAATCCTTGGCCAGGTCTCCTCAGGCACATCTGCAAATGTTTCTTGAAGGCAGGTGATGACAAGTAGATGTGGTAGGGTGCAGCCACTCTGGTGGACAATTTGCCATATGATAATGAATACTGCATATACCCTAGGATCTAGAATTCCTAGTTTAAATTAACGTTAGCCAGGTGCGGTGGCTGAGGCCTGTAATCCCAACACTTTAGGAGGCTGAGGCAGAGGGATCGCATGAGCCTGGGCAACTTCGTGAGACCCCATCTTACCAAAACTAAAAGAAAATTAGCTGGGTGTGGTGGCACGTGCCTGTGGTCCCGGGTACTCAGGAGGTTGAGGTGGGAGCGTTCCCTGAGCCAGGGATCGCCTGAACCGAATGCTGCAGTGAGCCATGATCCTGCCACTGCACGCCAGCCTGGGCAGCAGAGTGAGTCCCCGTCTCAAGAAAAAAAAAAAAAAAAAACCCACAGACACGCTCACAGAGCACCAGAACAACAAAAATATGGAGCCCTTTCCTTACGAAAGTACCCACTACTTACAGGCATTTGTTAAGGATTTACTTTGTGCCATCCCAGGTGCAGAACCAGGCTCTCACCATCTACTTTAAACACGTAATGATTATACAATCGTTCTACATTCTGTATCTGTGACATAGTTTGGAGGAGACGGCTTTTTTCTTTAGAGATGTATGGTTTTTTTGTATATTCTGAACAGAACACTTTGCTGTTTTGATCCATAATATCCTTCCACTCCCCCATGACAGTGATCTGGGTGCTCCTAGTCCCATGGGTTTTGATTCCGTCACTTCTAATTTTACATGATCAAATCCATTAATCACGTCGTTCATGTTATTTTATTATTTGTGTTCAATAATCTCAAAATCGTATCCCTTTCGGTTTTCTTGCAGCATTTCCCGCTTTAGAAAAGTACTTCCTTGACTCCTAGGAGGTGTACTGTGCTACCTACAGTTGATCGCCACGGCATTACCATTCCAAAAGGCAACGTCTTCCCTCCTTCCATTTCATTCCACTTTTTACATATCGTCACATAGTACCTGGGGGGTCTGGATCTATCTGAAGGACTTTATCGCTGCCCTGGCTCCCTGATTTACCTCTGTAGCACTTGTTTTTTTGTTTTTGTTTTTTTTTTTTTTGTTGCCCAGGCTGGAGGGCAGTGGCACCATCTCAGCTCACTGCAACCTGTGCCATACAGGTTCAAGCGATTCTTGTGCCTCAGCCTTCTGAGTAGCCAGGACTACATGAGCAGGCTGCCATACCCGGCTTCTTTGTATTTTTAGTAGAGACAGGGTTCTACCACGTTGGCCAGGCTGGTCTCGAACTCCTGACCTCAAGTGATCCACCAGCCTCAGCCTCCCAAAGTGCTGGGAGCACTTGTTGAGCTTAATGTATTTTCTCAGGTGTGAGGGAGAAGTTGCCCATTGTGACGGGTTTTTCCTACAGTGTCTTGCTTGGCCTCTGTGGTGAGCCTGCTGACCCCCCTCCCTGTGGCATCCCCAGGTGTCAGTGGAGAAGGGTTTGGGGGTCCGCAGTCGCCTCCCGCCTGCTACTCTTCATGAGTGAGTGCTGCAGGGAAGGGCGTCCCCGCTGTGGCTGTCCCCCGTAACTAGCGTCTAGGGAAAGGCTCTGCCCTGCACAGCCCATACTCACCCAACTGGCCTCGGGCCTTTTCTCTGCCAGAGTCCGAACAAAATCTGTGCCCTGTGGTAAGCAGATTGAGACATGAAGACGGCCTTCGGTGTAGCCCACAGCAGGGCTGGCTGGTAGATGCCCAGAGGACCCTCCCCGCGCCCCGTCCCTGAAGCGCCAGGAGCTTACGCGGCTGGGATCAAGGAGCTGCTCTATCTGCCGGTCCTTCCTGCTGTTTTCCTCCTCCAGGCGCCGGAGCTTCGTTCTCATTAGGTCCACATCGCTCTTCTGCACGTGCAATGACTGAAGAAAAGAAGGGCCATGCACGGCCATCCACACACCGCTGCGCACACGCCGCACACACGCCGTGCGCACGTCCTCGCATGCACAGCAAAGCACACGCTGCTGCGCACACGCCGCACACACGTCCCCGGGCAGCCAAGCACATGCCGCACACACGTCCCCGGGCAGCCAAGCACATGCCGCACACGTCCCTGCGCAGCCAAGCACACCACACCATGCACACGCTGCACACAGGTCCCCCCACGCACAGCCACGCACACGCCGCTGCGCACATGCCACACACATGTCTCCGCGTACACTGCCATGCACACACCACTACACACACACCGCACACAGCCATGCACACCACACTGCGCACAGGCCCAGGGAAGCACTGAGCTGGGACATTTGGAAAGCTGCCTGGCACGGTGTGTGGTGGGTGGGGAGAGATCTGGATGTCACATGAGGGCACCTGAGGGCACGCCTGGCATTTAGTGGGTGGGGACGGGGAAAGCTGGATGGGCAGGAAGCCCCCACAGAGAAGAACTGTCCCACCCAAGATACCAACGGCACCCGTGCTGAGAAACCCCGTCCCACGGAATGCACGGGAAAGGAATGCCGCCAACACTGGGGCTGGACGGTGACGCACCATGCATTCTCTCCCATGACCACACAAGAAAGTCCGTTTTGTTCACGTTTTTATCAATAAAACTCATCCAAGGCTAATATGCATTTCAAATGCTTATCCTCAGCTACAGCTCAGGTGGAAGGCAGTGCTTCCCAATCTTTATCTGTGGACAAATTCTTTACCAACTTGTGGTAACCTGACGGGGGACAAAAAAGACTGTGTAGTCGGGGCTGGGTGCGGTGGCTTACCCCTGTAATCCTAGCACTTTAAGAGGCCGAGGCGGGTGGATCACGAGGTCAGGAGTTTGAGACCAGCCTGGCCAGCATGGTGAAACCCCATCTCTACAAAAAATACAAAAAATTAGCCGGGCATGGTGGCAGGTGCCTGTAATCCCAGCTACTCGGGAGGCTGAGGCAGGAGAATCGCTTGAACCTGGGACGGGGAGGGTGCAGTGAGCTATGATTGCACCGCTGCAATCCAGCCTAGATGAGAGTGAGACCCTATTTTGCAGGAAAAAAAAAAAAAATTAGCTGGGCGTGATGGTGTGGCTGAGGGAGGCTCAGGTGGGAGGATTGCTTGAGCTCAGGTGTCTGAGGTTACAGTGAGCTAGGTTCTCCTCACTGCGCTCCAGCCTGAAAGATAGAGCGAGACCCTGTCTCTTAAAAAACAGGTAAATTATTGA